TTGGCACAGAAGTAACCAGTGCTGTATCTTATAAATTTAAAAACTTCCTCTGTATCAATAGTTATATCCCATTGTCATTTCTTTTTTTTAATACAATTTATTGTCAAATTGGCTTCCATACAACACCCAGTGCTCTTCCCAAAAAGTTTCCTCCTCAGTCACCTACTTTCCTCTCTCCCCCACCCCCATCCACCCTCAGTGTGTTCTCTGTATTTAAGAGTCTTTAATGGTTTGCCTCCCTCCCTCTCTGTAACTATTTTTCCCCCTTCCCTTCCCCCATGGTCTTCTGTTCAGTTTCTCAAGATCCACATATGAGTGAAAACATTACCTGTCTTTCTCTGACTGACTTATTTCACTTAGCATAATACCCTCCAGTTCCATCCACATTGCTGCCAATGGCAGGATTTCATTCTTTCTCATTGCCAAGTAGAATTCCATTGTATAGATAAACCACATCTTTATCCATTCATCAGTGGATGGATATTTGCATAACTTGACTATTGTTGAAGGCACTGCTATAAACATTGGGGTACGTGTGCTCCTATACATCAGCACTCCTGTATCCCTTGGGTAAATTCCTAGCAGTGCTATTCCTGGGTCACAGGATAGTTTTATTTTTATTTTTTTTGAGGAACCTCCATACTGTTTTCCAGAGCGGCTGCATAAGTTTGCATTCCCACCAACAGTACAAGAGGGTTCCCATTTATCCACATCCTTGCCATCGTCTATAGTTTCCTGGGTTGTTCATCTTAGCCACTCTGACTGGTGTGAGGTGGTATCTCAGTGTGGCTTGATTTGTATTTCTCTGATGATGAATGACATTGAGCACCATTTCATGTGTCTTTTGGCCACCTGGATGTCTTCTTTGGAAAGGTGTCTATTCATGTCTTTTGTCCATTTCTTCACTGGATTATTTGTTTTTCAGGTGTGGAGTTTGGTGAGTTCTTTATAAATTTTGAATACTAGCCTTTTATTTTATTTATTTATTTATTTATTTTTACTTTATTTTATTTTATTTTTTACAAATAGTTTATTGTCAAATTAGTTTCCACATAACACCCAGTGCTCATCCCCATAAGTGTCCTCCTCTATACCCATCCCTCCTCCCCCCCACATCCATCAGTCCTCAGTTTTTGTCAGCATTCAAGAGTCTCTCATGGTTTGCCTCTCTCCCTTTCCCCCACCATTTCCGCCCTTCTTCTCCCCCTTGTTCCTCCGTCAAGTTCCTCCTAATCCTCCTATACATGCAAACATATGATATTTGTCCTTCTCTGCCTGACTTATTTCACTCAGCATAACACCCTCAAGGTCCATCCACGTTGCTACACATGGCCAGATTTCATTCTTTCTCATTGCCATGTAGTATTCCATGGTATAGATGAACCACATCTTCTTGATCCATTCATCTGTTGATGGACACTTAGGCTCTTTCCATGTTTTAGCTATTGTGGAGAGTGCTGCTATGAACATTGGGATACATGTGCTCCTATGCATCAGCATTTCTGTATCAATAAAAGAAAAGATAAAAACCATATGATCCTGTCAATAGATGCAGAAAAAGCATTTGACAAAATACAGCATCCCTTCTTAATAAAGACTCTAGAGAAAGTTGGGATAGAAGGAACCTACTTAAACATCACAAAGCCATCTATGAGAAGCCTTCAGCTAACATCATCCTCAACGGGGAAAAACTGAGAGCTTTCCCCCTGAGATCTGGAACACGACAGGGATGCTCACTCTCAGCACTGTTGTTTAACATAGTGCTGGAAGTCCTAGCACTAGCCTTTTATTTTATATGTCATTTGCAAATATCTTTTCCCATTCCATTGGTTGCTTTTTAGTTTTGTTGACTGTTTCCTTTGCAGTGCAGAAGATTTTTATCTTGATGAGTTCCCAATAGTTAATTTTTGCCTTTAATTCTCTTGCCTTTGAAGATGTGTCAAGTAAAATTGCTGTGGCTGAGGTCAGAGGGGAGTTGCCTGCTTTCTCCTCTAGGGTTTTGATGATTTCCTGTCTCACATTCAGGTCTTTCATCCATTTTGAGTTTATTTTTGTGTATGGTGTAAGAAAGTGGTCTAGTTTCATTCTTCTGCATGTCGCTGTCCATTTCTCCCAGCACCATTTGCTGAAGAGACTGTCTTTTTTCCATTGGATACTCTTTCCTGCTTTGTCAAAGATTAGTTGCCCATCCATTTGTGGGTCCAGTTCTGAGGTCTCTATTCTATTCCATTGGTCTATGTGTCTGCTTTTGTGCCAATACCATACTGTCTTGATGATTACAGCCCTGTAGTAGAGGCTAAGGTCTGGGATTATGAGGCCTCTCATTTTGATTTTCTTCTTCAGTATTACTTTGGCTACTTGGAAGTCTTTTGTGGTTCCATACAAATTTTAGGATTGTTTGTCCTAGCTTTGAGATGAATGCTGGTACAATTTTGATTGGGATTGCACTGAATGTGTAGACTGTTTTGAGTAGTATTGACATTTTAGCAATATTTATTCTTCCAATCCATGAGCATGGAATCCATTGTTATTTCTTAATTGTGTATGTGTGCTTCCCTATTTCTTGGTTACCTTAGCCAGTGTTTTGTTTACTTTGTTCATTGCTTCAAAGACCCAACATTTTGACTTATTGATTTACTTTTCTTTATTGTATTAATTTATGGTTTTGTTTATATTATTTTCTTTCTGTGTAATCTTTTTATTTACTTTGTTGGGGTTTTTTCATAGTATTTTAAGTTAGGAATTAATTTGTTGCCATTCTTTCATTCTCATTGATGTAAATATTTAGGGCTATGAATTTTCCAGTGACTCTTGCTTTAAATGTATCCCATAGATTCTGATATGTAATCAGTTTTGTTATCATTATTTTCCAGAAATTCTCTGATTTCTATTTGTATTTTCACTTTTACCCAAGAGTTATTTGACAGAAAATCTTTTACCTTCCAGTAAGAAGGGCTTTCTGTGTTTCTGTCATTTTTAAATTTCTGGTGTTATTTTGTGATTAGAATATTTTTTATAATATTTCTATTTTGTGTAACTACTAATATTTTATTTCTTTAAAAATTTTTAAAAATATATTCATTTTTGAGAGAGACACACACAAAATGTGAATTGGGGAGGGGCAGAGACAGAGGGAGAAAGAATCCCAAGCAGGCTTCAGGCTCTGAGCTGTCAGCACAGAGCCCCAACACAGGGCCAGAACTCAGCCAACCATGAGATCATGACTTGAGCCAAAGTCAGATGCTCAACTTACTAAGCCAGGCACCCCTACTGATATTTTCTTTGTACTTTACTACATGATAAATTTTTGTGGATAGTTCATGCGCACTTGAAAAGATATATTCTTTCTTATCAAGGTATATATTTCTATTATATATATATATTTAAAAGATTTACCTTTTTGATTTTATTAGTTTTTTTATGTAGTTGCTTAATTTTTGTTCACTTGACCTCTTTTACTAAAAATCTTCAATTATTATTACATTTTTATTTCTTTCTTTATTTCCTATAAATTTTGTTTTACTTAGGTTGTTTATCATTTTATTTGTTGCATAGGTATTCTGAACTTTTGTATCTTCATTGTGGGATGTGGATTTTATAAAGTGTAATTTTTCGATGCATTTAATTTTTTGGAGGTGGGAGGGGCTTATTGTTTATCTGGTATTAAGAGTTACATGTACTTATTGTCTCCATCTGCCTGGCAAATCTTTTCCGTCTCTTTATTTTTAACTTTTCTGAGATACTGCATTTTAGGTATCTCTCATGATTATAGTATGGATTTAAGTTTTGCTTTATGGGCCATTTTGAAATAATGGATGAGTTCAGCTTTTTCACATTATTGATATGACTGAAATTTGGTATCAACTCTGTCATGGTATCTTATGATAACTATGTTTATCATGTGACATTTCTTGATTTTCTCAATTTGGCTATTCTTCTTTGCTATTGATAATTTCTTTTGATATTTAAGAAGGTTTGTATTTTCTTATAGTAGTCACCTTTCTATTAATAATTTTAATTGTGCCCTTAATTCCCTTTTTTCTTGATTAAACTTGGCTGTTAGTTTGAATGATATATTTTGACTACCACCTATTATCTAGACAATAGTCAGTGTACTTAATTTACTTTCCCCAACCACTGATCTCTTTCCTGTCCCTATAGTTTTGCCTTTTCAAGGTTATCATATAAATAAGATCATGTATATAGCCTCCAGTGGCTAACTTTCACTCAGCCTCATATATTTGAGATTTATCTAGATTGTTCTACAGATCAGATGTGGTATGTTCTTTTTAACTGCTGAGTAGTATTTCTTTGTATGTTTATGCCACAGTTTTGTTTGCTTTGTTATACTATTTATTTTGAAATGACTACAGTCTCACACGTAGTTGCAAAACTAGTACAGATAATCCTTCTCCCCAGCTTCCCTAATGGCAATATCTTACAAACCAGAAGTTTGATATTGGTACAATATAATTAATTAGTCCATAGGCCTCATTTGGATTTCATTCATTTTTACACACACTCATGTGTATGTGTGTGCACGGTTTTTTTTTACATACCACACATATGCTACAATTACAAGCAACATACTATAGTATAGTCACAGACCTCTCCTCTTCTTCCCTGACAAATACTGATTTGTTCTCTGTATCTTTAATTCTGTCATTTTAAGAAGGTTGTATAAATAGAATTATACACAGAATGTAACTTTTTGAGATTGGCTTTTTTCATTTAGCACAATCCCCATGAGATCCATGCAAGTTGTTGTATGTATCAATAGTTCATTTCTTTTTATTTTTGAATATTATTCCATGGTAGCGATGTATCACAGTTTCTGAAAGCCGAATGAAAAAAAATACATTGTGTATGTTTTCCTTCACAGAGTCTGTGGAAAAAAATATTAAGTATTGCCAAAGTAATGTTAGAGTACATTTTTTTATACATGGGTGAAATCATTGAGTTAAAAATATTAATCTGCATAATTTTTTTCTCTCTCATAGGAATCTTTGCTATAGAGATTTCTGACACGTGAAAAGATTCTTCACTTCCTTGGGAAAGGTCAAAGTTACAAACTGATTTTTTTTTGCTATATGATTGCATTTATCTTTTGAATGCTTGACAATGTTAAATGTATTTATTAACTTTGGGCCTCTGAATCTCTGTTCTCATGTGCCATATCGCAGTGATCTGAAATGACATATAGAAACAAAAATGCATATGGCTCTTTCTATCCATGCAGTAATAGTGAGTGTAAAATCTGCTTACTTCACTATTGAACACTGTTATGTAAACTATCCGGAGTAAATAAAGAAGCTTATAAAAAGAGGGAAAAGTGTTTTTACAAAACTGGTTTCCTTTCCTTTCTTGATATCTCAAATAATTGGTTGGTTAAATTTTTTCTTTGTGATTTATGATTTCATGGCTGGAGAACTTGTGCCAAAATAGGCACAATTTACCAATACTGGTCTGGGACCCAATATTCCATTTTGGAACCAACCTGACATAAATTCCAGGCCATAATCTGATTTCAGAGCAGCAGATAGTAGGAATGTGTCAGAGTTTTAAAATCCATAGTATTGTACCACTAATTAACATACATTTTCTGCAATTGTGTTTACGTCTACTATTTTTAGAAAGGTAGGTGATGCTATATTTGTCAAGAATGTAAGATTTTCTAAAAAATCTGTATTTTAATAAGTTTTCTTTGAAACATTAAAGTACTGCAATCAACTTAATTGCCATTTTATTTATTTTTTATTTTTTGTCTATGGCAGGTGTCTATAATGTAGAGTAACAAGTTTAATGATGTTTTCCTCTTTGTCCTAAAATCTCCTAAATCTCTTATCTTTTCTCTCCATAGGCTTCGACTTAATGTTGATATTAAAGCCTGAACAGTACTGTGTTTTACTGTTTGATATAAGCTCTTTGTATTCTTTCCATTTTAATAAAAAAGCACCCAAGTCCTATCATTAATAATAGTCTTATGAAGCAGACAGTTTCTCACTTTATGTAGTAACTATGCAGTATCACTGCAGTAGATGTGCCTTGATTTAGGTCTTGTTTTCTTATTCACGCTGTGATATTTTACTATAAATTCATGCTACATATTCATTTTTTATTTTTAAAAACTGAGTTTACTCATCTGGTTCAGAACAGTCATTATAGATTGGTTTTAAAAATTGAATAATTTAAAATAAGAGGTCCTTTTGGAGAGCCTGAGTGGCTTAGTTAAGTGTCTGGCTTTTGACTTAGGCTGAGGTCATGATCTCACAGTCCATGAGTTTGAGGCCCACGTCGAGTTCTTCTCTGGCAGTTCAGAGACTATGTGGGATTCTCTCTCTCTCTCCCCATCTCCGTCTCATATGTTCTGTCACTCTCTCTAAATAGACTTAAGAAAAATAATATGCCCTTTTATAAACGTTTTAGAGAATAATACACAAAAAGTTGTTCTTGCTAATATTAAGCATATGCTGATAAATGTGCAAACATTTACCAGGTGATGCAATGACTTAAGCACTAGGTTACCACAACATTAATTTTAGTTTTTGCACCTCCTAGAAGGGCTGACAAGGAGCTGAGTGTTGCCTGTCATTTGCACTTAACATATGTTGCCTGTGGGGGTCAGTATGTGGGAAGGGGAACATGAGAGAGTAGGAATGAAGTATGCGAGAAAATATTTCCATACATGATTAGAGGGATACTGTAGTTGACTTGTCCCATTAATTACAGAATATTTGAAAGAAAATTACATGGTACGTATAATGGGGTAAATATTATCCAAAGTTTGGGAAACTGCAACTATATTCTTTGTTAAAAATAAAAAAAAAAAAAAAAAAAAAAAAAGGATTTTTTCCTAACGGTAATATTTTAAGAACACATATCATTTTATCTATTGTGGAGAGTGCTGCTATGAACATTGGGGTACATGTGCTCCTATGCCTCAGCATTTCTGTATCCCTTGGGTAAATTCCTAGCAGTGCTATTGCTGGGTCATAAGGGAGTTCTACTGTTAGTTTCCTGAGGAACCTCCACACTGTTTTCCAGAGGGGCTGTACCAGTTTACATTCCCATCAACAGTGTAGGAGGGTGCCCGTTTCTCCACATCCTCGTCAGCATCTAGAGTTCCCTGATTTGCTCATTTTAGCCACTCTGACTGGCGTGAGGTGGTATCTCAGTGTGGTTTTGATTTGTATTTCCCTGATGAGGAGGGATGCTGAGCATCGTTTCATGTGTCTGTTGGCCATCTGGATGTCCTCTTTGGAGAAGTGTCTGTTCATGTCTTCTGCCCATTTCTTCACTGGGTTGTTTGTTTTTCGGGCGTGGAGTTTGGTGAGTTCCTTATAGATTCTGGATATTAACCCTTTATCTGATATGTCATTTGCAACTATCTTTTCCCATTCCGTTGGTTGCCTATTAATTTTCTGGGTTGTTTCCTTGGCTGTGCAGAAGCTTTTAATCTTGATGAGGTCCCAACAGTTTATTTTTGCTCTCGATTCCCTTGCTTTTGGGGATGTGTCAAGTAAGAAGTTGCTGCGGTGGAGGTCAAGGAGGTTGTTTCCTGCTTTCTCCTCTAGGGTGTTGATAGTTTCCTGTCTCACGTTCAGGTCCTTGATCCATTTTGAGTTGATTTTTGTGCATGGTGTGAGAAAATGATCTAGTTTCATTCTTCTGCATGTTGCTGTCCAGTTCTCCCAACACCATCTGTTAAAAAGGCTGTGTTTTTTCCATTGGATATTCTTTCCTGCTTTGTCAAAGATCAGTTGGCTGTATACTTTTGGGTCCACTTCTGAGTTCTCAATTCTGTTCCATTGGTCTATGGGTCTGTTTTTGTGCCAATACCATACTGTCTTGATGATGACAGCTTTGTAGTAGAGGCTGAAGTCTGGGATGGTGATCCCTCCCGTTTTGGTTTTATTTTTCAGTATTACTTTGGCTATTCGGGGTCTTTTGTGGTTCCATACAAATTTTTGGATAGTTTGTTCTAGTTTTGAGAAGTATGCTGGTGCAATTTTGATTGGAATTGCATTGAATGTGTAGAGTGCTTTAGGTAGTAATGACATCTTAACTATATTTATTCTTCCTATCCATGAGCATGGAATGTTTTTCTATTTCTTTGTGTCTTCTTCAATTTCCTTCATAAGTTTTCTATAGTTTTCATCATACAGATCTCTTGTATCCTTGGTTAGGTTTATTCCGAGGTATTTTATGGTTTTTTGTGCAATTGTGAATGGGATCAGAAGAACACATATCATTTTAAATAAGATTCTAACCACTTGAGATAAATACATAATAGCTACTTGATAAGGTAGAGACTGCCTAAAGCAGTAAAATATACAATACAAAAACTATACCAGACATATTCTTTTCTTGCGGATATAGAATCTGAAAAAGAGCTCTCAGTTTTGAAATGTCATGTTCAATACAAAACATCCACTCTTGCTGAAGTAAGGGTGTTTTGAAAGAAGATTGTTAACCCTCTGAGTTAAATATCTCATAGGTGCTGAGTCTTAATGCCTCTAAACTAAATTCAACAATGTCTCTCCCTTGCATTCTCTGCTCTTGTTTCCCACGGTAGAGTGTCACCAGGTACCATGTTAGATGTCTGAGCCCTGAACCCACATGCCACCTCAGTTCAGTCCTCATCTCACTCGACATATTCACTCAACTTAAATGTCACTTCCCACTATAAAATATTGCTGAAAAAAATTAAAGAAGACCTAAATAAGTGAAAAGACATCTCACAATCATAGATTAGAAAGCTGAATATTGTTAAGATGGCAATATTCTCCCAAACTATCTTCAGATTAAATATAATTCTTATCAAAATACCAATGGAGGGTTTTTTGTGTTTTTTTTTTTTTGAGAAATGGAAAAGCCAATCCTAAAATTTATATGGAATTGCAAAGGACTCAGAATAGCCTAAACAATCATAAAACAGAAAACAAAGTTGGAGGATCCACATTTCCTGATTACAAAAAGTTACTACAAAACTTCAGTAGTCAAAATAGTGTAGTACCAGCATAAGGATAGACATATGGATGAATGGAATAGAATTGAAAGTCCAGAAATAAACCCATACACTGATTTTTGACAAAGGTGCCAAGACCATTAAATGGAGAAAGAACAGTCTCTTCAGTAGTGATGTTGGGACAACTGGATAGCCACGTGCAAAAAAATGAATTTAGACCTTTACACACCACATACAAAAATCAACTCAAAATGGATTATACATCTAAATTTAAGTGCTAAGACTATAAAACTCTTTGAGGAAAACATAGAGGCAAATCTTCACAACCTTGGATTTCACATGATTTTTTACATATGACTTAAAAGACAAGCAACAACATGAATAGATAAATTGGACTTCATCAGAATTAAAAATCTCTGTGCATCAAAAGACACTATCAAGAAAGTGAAAGAAGGGCACCTGGGTGGCTCAGTAGGTTAAGCATCCAACTTTGGCTCAGATCTCAGTAGGTTAAGCATCCGATTTTGGCTCAGATCATGATCTCACCATTTGTGGATTTGAGCCCTGCAACAGGCTCTGTGCTGACAGGTCAGAGCCTGGTGCCTGCTTTGGATTCTGTGTCTCCCTCTCTCTCTGCTTCTCCCTGGCTCATGCTCTGTCTCTCTCTGTCTCTAAAAAGTAAATAAACATTTTTTAAAAAGTGAAAGATAACTCAAATAATAGGATACAATATTTGCAAATCACATATCTGATTAGGGTGTAAGTATCTAGAAAAATAATTTTTACAACTTGACAACAAAAAGAACCCAATTTTAAAATAGGCAAAGGACTTGAATGGGCATTTCTCCAAAGAAGGTAAAGTCAATATGTACATGAAAAGATGTTCAATCTCATTAGTAATTAGGAAAATGGAAATCAAAACTATAAAACAAATCATTTCACATGCACCAGGATGGCTGTAATAGAAAAGATAGACAATGACCAGTATCAATTAGGATGTGGAGAAATTGGAACTCATTGCTGGTGGAAATATAAAATGGTGCAGCCACTGTTGAAAACAGTTTGGCAGTTCCTCAATAAATTCAACGTAGAACTACCATATGACACAGAAATTCAACTCATAGATATGTATCCAAAGAATTTAAAAAGTATTCAAACAAAATTTTGTACATGAATATTCATAGAAGCTCCAATTCACATTTAGCAAAAGGTGGTGACAACCGAAATGTCCTACAACTGATGAATGGATATACAGAATGTGATATATCCCTACAATGGAATATTACTCAGTCATAGATATGAATGAGCAGGTATGGGATATGAGATCAAACAAATGAAAAACAAGGTAAGGAAAA